TGCTTTTTAAGGCATTGCCATTTTTAAAAATAGATGACGATGTGGAAATCACATTCTGATTGAATGTTGGCTTTGTAAAGTAGCGCGCGGCAATCTCCACACCTTGAGATAATATCGAGTGTCGAAGAATGAGTTTTACTATTATTATAACCTCCAACTTGAAAATGCAGATTGATGCGGCAATGCGGCATTCATGGAAGGGATGCAGTCTTTTATGAGGCTCTTAAGATTTATGCGATATCACAATAGAAAAGTAAAATCATTTAAGTGATCACTACAGATTGCGATGTGATTTCCTCTTAGCACCATCTATTTTTTGAACGTACAACAAGCCTAACATCTTTTGCAAAATATGCCTAAATTCTGTTTTCAGGCCTTTGCGCAACGATTTTATAAGTTTAGACTAGACTTTGGAGTTCGGAGTTTTACTACAACTAGTCTTTGTTTAACCTTATGCATCTGCTTTTCAAAATATGCATCCCATACCGCTCTGTTTAACGCTAAGCATTTATGCATTGCCAGGGATTCTTGCTATGACATTTTTATAATACCACTCACTATACGACGCGGTGCCGGGAACTTATTTAAGATTACATTGAACATTCGGTTTTCTCTGTATCATTCCTAAATTTTTTAGGTATCATCGTTGGTAAACGTAGTATCACTGTGTACTACACTGCGGGTGTTAGATTTAACGGATTCTGGTTTCCCTCTTGATAAAATTTGGGCAGCATTGAAGTATGGTGGCCTTCAAATCGAAAAGTTATGCCTTGGTGGGTGCCATGTTGGGAGAAAATCAACAGATTGCAGTCAGGTGATCATTCTTCACTTTCCGATAGAATCCTTATGTTTGTTCTCCTTGTTTAGTTGGTTAAAGAATTTTTCTCAATGGCTGTAAATTTGTCACACATCAGCTTCGCAACTACTATATTACCAGCAGAAATGATGAAGGCTATGCTGCTCGGTTTAGCTAGCAATCAACAGGTACTACTTTACTTATTTTTTCCTTACTGCCCCTAAAACTGTTGCTGCTCTCTACTATATTCTTTTAATTACTGCTGTAGTATGTACAAAATTTAAGCTAAAGCCTTTTCACTTGGACATCAGTGCAACTTGTGAGAAATCCTGCAGCTCAGTATTGGAAGCGTGTTTGGCGGGAGTGCAATGCCGTAGTCTTTCTCTTAGAGACAACAATCTGGAAGGTGAAATGCAGGTAATATAAACACAATGCTATCTGCTTGTGTTACTTTGTCCCCATTTGTGAATATGTATATGCTGATTTTTCGCTAAGTCCTATCGCAGTGGAAATTCAGGGGGTGATACATGCTCTCGGAAACATCAAAACATTGCGTCGACTTGATATTGGAGGTGCTAATCTGTTGGCGCTACGCAGATCTTCAAAACAAGTTCATGCTGCATTAATCAGTAAAACCATACTCGATGTTGTAAAGCTCTTTTCAGACGATTCGGTATGAAAAGAAGTTTTTAATTTTATATGTTATTGACGTAGTTGTACTTATCATTGACTGCTTACAGCCGCTCGAAGAATTATTTTTGTCGGATGCTCGTCTTGGCCCTCATCTCAGTGTACTCTTAAACACACTTGGAGCAGCAACTTCTTTACGATTTCTTGACATCTCAAACAACGATTTGGGACACTTCGGAGCTAGGATTCTTTCAAAAGTATGGTTTCTTTGTAAGGTGTTTGTCAAGAATAACAATACTCCGCAGCAGCTTACTATATGCATGTTTATCTGCACATGAAATACCCTCTCCTCACACTGTACATAACCGCAACAGCTACAGTAGCTTCCGTAGTAAGCCTTCGTTTACGACTCCATTCGAGTGGAATATCACTGTTGCAATTATGCTGTTAAACTTATTTGTATAGAAACAAGCTAAATTATTGTGCTAAGTTCAGTAACGTTTTTTTTCGCTCTCAGAATGTTTTTTTAGCTGTGTTCTCATAGTCAGAACATTGATGTCAAGTCCGAATATTGAGAGATGATTCTAAATCCGAAGTGCGAAGTTTGACCATTGTTAAGCGTCGAATGAATTTCAAAAGATTTCTTTCCTGCACTTTCTGCATTGCTTGGAGAGACTTGACATAGCGCAGCATCGCGCTACGTCTCTGCTGCGTAACAGAGCGATACGTGAATAGTTGAGTCAAAAAGGTGGCTTGAGCTCTGAATCTCGGCTCTGTGGTTTCCTCTATGAATTCAAAACCGGCCTAAGCTGTTTTTTGCCTCCTTTTCTTTCTTTCAAATCGTTTTCCATGCTTCTCTTCAAGATTTACGTGAGGAGGCGTTTTCCCGTTGGAGAGTTTTCTATCTCTATCTCCTGATCTTTCTAAAAGCGTCGTTCATAAATTGAGTCTTCTTTCATTTGCAGTCCTATCCTCTTCTCAACCTTGCCTGATTCTTTCAAAATATTCGCTTCTGTAGTTCCGTAGAAAAGAGGAAGTGTTGTCCACAAGAAGGTGGGTGCAGGAGACTTTTTCCAATAAGGACATCGCTTAATGTGCGGCGGTATTAACAGCTTTGGTCACACGGTGTGCCTTGTCAATCCTTCGAAATTGGTATGCTAAGGGGACGATGGGAAAGTTATACTGTTGTATAGCAGTTTTTGGAGCAATCGGCCAAACCTCACGTAAGACGGATCCACACCTTGGTCTACGAGCACTGACAGTATGGCGTTACTCTTGACGCTGAAGGTTAGGATGAGAGGTAAACGATATTCTCTACACACCTCAAATCATCGAAAGTCTGATATAATCTATGCAGCTGTTGGAAAATTTAGCTCCTTTCTCCGGTTGGGCGTTAAGTGTTCTTGATTTGCAAGTGAGAATAATCTTTGTGATACACTTGTGAAACATCTAGCAGGCATATTGGTTTTCCGGATTCTCTGATGCTCAGCCATGAGGAGGCCGTGGCAGTGGTGCCACAGTCTAACTGAGCTAATCACTAGGTGGCTTTCCTGGTCTATACAGGTCAGCGATTGCCTGCCATCAATACTTAGCATGCTCCCGGCAAGGCACGAGAAACAATTCTTATTGCCTATACAGCATTTAAGAAAAAACCCTATACACTGGGTCCTGTCTTCAGTGCGGATTTTGTCAAGACCAGTGTCATGTTGCACAATGGATATTGGTCCAAGAGGACAAGTCAGCGACGCACTATGGATGTGCCCAGAGTGTCTCATGCTTTCGAAATGCGTTGCAAGTTCTTTTTGGAGGCATTTAGGCGCTTCCACCACAGGCTTTCAATGCCCTGAAAAGCAGGTCGTACTCCTTCGTTGGGTCCTCCTCGATGGCCTAGTGCTAGGTGGTCAGGTCTAATCTGACGACGTCATATATGATTTCTTCCTCATAATACAACAAATCCACTCTGCCCAACTTTCAACGGAAACGCACTTCTGCTTGAGGGGAACCCACTAAGACGCCCATTGGACACTGTTTGATGAAATAATTGGTTTCCTCGTGAGTCGTACCGTTGGGCGAATCCCACATCCACTGTCGAAGTTCCCACTTGAAAATGGACTTTCATGAAAAAGCCTCGCGGCAGATAAGAGCCGGTAAGACGATTACCATTTCCATTCCGGAGTCCTGATCCAGTCGCTATCCTCTACTCCCTTTTGGCGTCCCTATTTTTGTATTGAAGTCTCGCCATGAATTGTAGAAGGAATTAATTTTGCGAAGGACTTTCTCTGGTAAGCATTCAGTTTCAATTCATCAGCGGTTGGTCATAATAATTGTGATGAAGGGAATAGAATCGAAGGATACCCAGGTGAGATGAATCTCATGCGAATCGACGAGATAGTGTATGGATCTACTACAAATCCGACGCCTCCAACGTTCCTTGATGGAACTTTCTCACTACGAATGATAAGTACGCCATCACTCAGCTACCTTACTTCCGTTCTCGTGAACCTTGTTTTCTGCAAGTCAGATCGATTACGTGGATTCTATGCGTCCTGCGATTTCGAAAAGCGGTGCATGCTTTTAATGGAGACTGTCTCAGTGTTGTCAGTGAAGAGCATAAACGGTCTGAATCGGCCAATCCTCATGAAGTTGAAGATACCTTGAAATCGAGGCTTATTGCAGTCCGTGTAGAGTAGCAGCTGCGGCTGGCACAAGTCATCCTTATACCGCGCTTTTATAATATTCATTCATAAAATTCACGGAGTTTCGATTAGAACTCCAAATCAACTCTATCTGTCAACCTCATGTAAATCAGAATCTCAGTATCTCTTTTAACTTCCTTGTGCATGGAGTATCACTAATAGGGGCTGCCAAAAAACATTCTGTGAACTATGCTCTGGCGTATTAGCAGTTTTAATGTGAAGCAGAATCCTGGTTTTGAACTTATAAATATACTTCGTAAATAATTGATTTTCTGCAGGCACTGGAACTGAACACCTCTTTGCGCTCCATCGTAATCGACAACAATCATCTCGGTGTGGAGGGTCTCTGTGATCTGGCAACTGCTCTCAATATGTACGACGTTTATGCTTTTGATAGTGTTGTAGGAAATGTTTACGTTGTTTGAAGACTTTTTCGTTGTTTCAGAAATAGGACGATCACTTCTATCTCGTATCCTGTGCAGGATGTATGCGAATGTTTAACTAGAGCAGGATGTGACCGTTCAAGAATATTGGGTGCTATGACTTTGATTGAATCTTGTTTGGAACGAAATCGGCAACCTAGCAACGCTGATACTGCGAACTTCCGAATTACTGCCGGGGTTAGTCTGCTTTTTAATGTGACTACAGCTGTGTAGAGGTTGTATACTGCTTTCCTATAGAGGAACTGGATGCAGGTCCGAGCAAGGTGGAGAGCTGAGCTCTTAGGGTTCCATACTTGATAAGGATTGGCGTTCTGAATTGGTCGATCCTTATAACGCTTATAAGCGCAATAAGAATCGGCCGATCGAGGTGCGCGAAGGTTGCGTTGCGGCCTCCTGTTGAATACCATTTGGCGCAACACTTTTTTTCTTCCGAGTTTGTCTTGCTTTTTTTCTTTATATTGTCTTAGAGCTCTCACAAACCGTCAGCAAGTGTGCTGGAAGGATGAGCACCGAACCCCAGGCAAAATGACATTTGACTGCGACGCCGCAACGCAACCGCCACGCAACCTCGATCTGCCGATCCTTATGAAGTATGGAGATGCCTTTACACTTATGGGGCACAGCAATAACCACACGCTTTGAAATATGTCTTCGCGCGTTGCAACCCATAGGTGTCGACCATCGTACCGCCGTGGTACCTCTGGGTTAGCTCAATAAGATGCTGAGAATCTTTGTGCCACCTTTAATATAAAAT